AAGCCTTCCGAGTAAATCGCCAGAACGCCGACACCTCCTCATCTCCACCGCTCCCATGTTTTATTTTTTGTTGCCATAAGTTAGTCTCTCTGCGTTTCTGCGCTTGGCTAATGCTAATAATGCTAATGCTAGGATAATAAAATGACGGCTTCACAAAACGTTTTTTGAGTTTTACGGGGCGTGGTTTGCAATCCGCCCAGCCAATCAGAAATATAGCTCTTTTCTCACAAGAGAGCCGCATGAGAAGGGGGTAAAAAGGTTCTCATTAACTAATTTTAGTTCTGGCTTTTTTTGGTGTGAACGCGACATTTCGGAACTATATCGGAACTAAAGTGGGAAAAGTACTGCGGTGTGAACGCGGCTAATGGTTTATTTTGAAAGGAATACACTGAGGTTCCCCGGAGACATGTTTTAACAAGTTTAAATATGCTTCATCATTATTTGTGTCTGATATGTTGTTCTACAAACAAATGAAACTAACGTGTTAGTCTTTAAATACCATCACGCTCTCTTTGCTCATTAAAGGTCCAGAAGAGTGTGCGCTGAGGTTAATCACGGTTATGACTTGTCTCCACACACTGCTCACATAAGTCAGTACTTCTCTACTGTTAGTTAAACCTGTGAGGCCGTCTGACAGTGGACCATAGACTCCTCTCTCACTGTAGGCCAGTGGGCCTCTGTTTGTCGGTGTGTGGCAGGGAGCAGGGGCAGTAAACTGGGTTCCTGGTCCCTCCTTTTTTATATCTGTAACTTATTCAGTTGCAAATCCCCAAAGCCGAGTTGGGGCTTGTTGGTGAACAGTTGACACCAAGAGAATTTTGACGAGTTCCATTTTGCTTCTGTTTTTGTCAGGGATGGTAGCGGGGGGGCCACAGGCCAGTGTGGCTCTGTGTGTGACTCACTGATGAGGGCAGACGGGATCACAGACCTTAGAGCTCCATTTTTGCAGTGATGCATGTTGGGGGTGTGTGCTAGTGTTTGCTAGTGTGTTGTATGCCTTGTCTGAAGCCCAGGTGATGGTGGGGGGTTCCTCCCGGCGGTACCTCCTGCTGATTGGCCAGCTCCTCCTCCAGCTGCTGGGACTCTTCCCTCACAGTAGACAGGAAGTCAGCAGGTGACTGGCGAGGAGGCGTGGATTTCTCTGCGTGGTTATAGAGACCCTTCCACATCCTGAGACGAGTGACAAGGAGAACAAAAAAATGAAGTTTTGCCAATGTTTTTCTTCACAATCATTTCCTAGGAGATTATGTTTGACTGACAGCGAGTTGCTAGGTTTGAAGAAAGTAAAGAAGTAAGACCAAGAAAATAAAAATGACCGTGTGTGCGTGTGCAGGAACTTACTTGAAGCAGTAGGGGGTGGTGTTGGGCCTCAGGACCCCCTGGCTCTGGCTCTGCTCAGCCCGGTAGAGAGGGTTGGTGTACTGGGCCCGCTCCTTCCACAGCTCGGGCCAAACGGAGTGAGTCCGCTCTCCAAGCCTGTCCACAGCACACAGCAATGTTACAAAACCATGACACCTTCTCAAATGCAGCACTCACTCTTTGCTGTAACAGACAGGTAGCTGAGGGAAACTGGATCTGGATCTTCAAATCCCCTAGGCAAAATGTGAGGGTCAGCACTGACACAATGAAAACTCCCCTCAATGTTGTTGCCAGTCCAGTGTGGCAGAAGTTAATTTAGGATAACCAAAGCAACCACACCAGCGATCTGTAACTGTCCTGACAGCATGCATCCTGATGGGACTGCAGTGGAACTACATAATACACATCATAATAAAGATGTGAGTGATGTACATGTGAAGTCCTTGACAAACTTCAGTGGGAATATAACTGATGCAGTTTTGGAAAATAATTGGTAAAAGTTAGCATAATAGTAATAAAGTGATAGAACACTTAAAAGTACCACAAGCACAGGGTCATTAATCAGAACTCTACATACTGTGCTGGTCTCTGCACACAGTCCAATACCAGCGAACGTGTGTGTTTCAGTCCTACCTCATGTCCCTGCGCTCCTTCTGGCAGTTGCCCAAGAAGGTCCCGTACCGACAGGAGTAGATGTGTGTGTGTATGGCGACGAGGAAGCGTTCGTTGAACTCGAAGGCACAGGGGAACTGCTCGGACAGCTGCCACACACACTCCACAAACTGATCAATGACAGGAGACACTTCTTTAGGATCTCCGTCCAGGTGGCCGTACCTGCAGGGACACAGCTCCATCTTACTGCCCAACACACACAGCATTCTCTCCACTAAATCAAGTTCTATTCAAGTTCAGTGCTGTACAGTGCCTCCAGTAGAAAAGCACAGACAGGTACAGGAAGGAAGGAAGGGAACAAAGAGAGCAGAGAAAGGGTTGAAATGTTCATTAATACCATTTCTCAAATGTTAGCTCTCCATGAGTGACTCAGAGCTTAAATGTAGAGAAAACGATGATATAGTAAATAATTCATCCGTAATTGTATAATTATAATGATTTTATATTATTTGTGTGCTTTTTAAAGCTAAAAATGTTTTGAACAAAATGTCCCACCCCAGCTTGGATAATAAGTGGTCAGGGCGCCCTTTTGATGTCCTCAAGAAATAATCGCAGTGACATCACTTTGAGCTCTGATGACCTCCAATGGGCTTTTAGAAAATGTAATTTAACTAGTCACATTATCATTTCACAAGTACCGTAATTTTCGGACTATAAGGCGCACCTGAATATAAACCGCAGCAGCTAAATTGAATGATGTGTAAATATATAAGCCGCACTGGACTATAAGCCGCAGGTGTTTTAATGTTTAATTACCATATGTAAGGGTTCGTGCACAGAGGGGATTGTCGGGAAAGAGATGGCTGTTTGAGGAAGCTCCCATTTATTAACATTTCAACAAACAAGTTGCATATTTGCATAACGTATTCAAGTGTTACCATTTAGTGCAATAGTAGCTACAGAACATGTACTGTGCTGTGTAAACTGTACTGTATCACATAGCGTTTCAGACACACAAACTTTTCAACTTTCAAACTTAAACGGTGCGCTCCCAGTGCACGTACCGGCAGTGATCTACAGCAGTGGTTTTCAACCAGTGGTACGGGGACAAACTGTCTCGCTCTCGTAATGTCTGTCTGTCTTGCTCTCGTTCTGTCTCTCGTACCACTCTCGGTTCCACTTTTACTTTTGCGCGCTACCTGTCTCACTCTTTTCCGGCCTCCAGCTTTTCCTGCTGGAGCCCGCCGCTTAAAGGTGGGGGGCGCGGACCGGCCATAGAGCCCATAGAGTTAAAGGTGGTGGACTGTAACCTGTAAAATCCATAGATTTAGGAGGTCCCCTAGTGGCCGTTAGCTGTACAAATCCATAGATTAGCCGCACCGTTATATAAGCCGCAGCGTCGAAAAATGGGAAAAAAGGCGCGGCTTGTAGTCCGAAAATTACGGTAGTATGTAATAAACTCAAAATAACAAAATAAGGGTTGTCTCAGTCCACAACTATATTGGTCAAGTTTTTAGGTTAGTTTTTGATGAGGATATGCTGCCTGTCCTTGAACACACCATGTGGATCCCCTCTCCACCATCCTCATCCATTGAATTGCATTTTATTAGGTTTTTTAAAATGCTTAGCAATGTGTTTTCTGACCAGATGTCTGACACCGTTTTTCTGTGGCCAGTGTGTCAATGTCTGGTTTTAGGTCCTGTGCTTTAGCAATCCCTAGAACAGCGTGGAGGTTGTCGTCAGTGATGCGTGCTTTGTTTTTGTTTAGATTCATTATTGAAAACATCTGTTCGCACAGA